TAACGTGTTTTTTAGTGATATTTTTTTATCAGTATTTATTTGCCTCTGAATTTTATCTCATTCATAAACAGGTGATGTTCGGAGGTCGACTCAAGAGGCAAAGTAAAAGATATTTGCTAAAGTTGACCAGACTTTGAGGACAGGTTAAGCGTGGGTAAGCAAAAAAAAACGCTGAAGAAAACTAAAAACTTTTCAAGATTCGATGGAGGGAGCACCCACTCGAGACACTCTTATTCATAGATGATATGTAATATATAAATATATGATGGTATTAAATTTTATTGAATTATTTTTCAACGTAAAACAATGAAGGAATTTTTTTGTTTATGTACTCCCTTTGTTAGAACAATAACTGTCTTCTCTCGAAATTTAACATTCGAAAAATTTAAAATGTCACTTCACTTTTTTACCTAAAATTCTTTCGAAAATCAACAATATGAAAGAGTGAAAATGAATATTTTACCTAGTAAGAAAAAAAAACAGATATATGCTGTGTTGTTTTAATGCAAACGAAAATTATTTCATAGTTTTACGCTTAATTTAAAACAAATTCTACCTAAGACATATATAGTATATACATTGTTGAGAGATGATTACATAATATATTATAAGTATTTCTCATGCATATTTATTTTATGTGACAAAATTCGATCTAATTATATATGGATAAACAGCAAAAAAAAATTAATTCATGCGAACATGTTAAATTAAAATTTATTGAAAAAGAGAAAAAAAAAGTTAAAACAATTATAAAAACAATTTGGAGTATAGTTGATATTTAACAATCATAGTTTCAAAACTTTTTTTTTATTTCATCAAAAAAAAATGAAAAATTTCAATCAATGTGGTTAGCAATAATTAATTTAAACCACCAATAAGAACAACTGTATATCCATAGATGACTGTCGATTTTTTTTTGAATATAAAGAAAAAACCCCATAATATCTGCCGTCTTGTATATATAGTAAAAAGATAAAAAAACAAGATATGTTAGTCAGATAGACAGTCTGCAATGTGCGACCAGAAAGAAAAGTAAAAGTACTCATATAGAAGAAAGTATATTTCATGAAATAAAAGATAGAAAATTTTACTCATAAGTTTTGTTTTTACTATAAAAGTAGCAACAAACATGTCAATTTATGCTTACATATTAAGTAATGCTTTTGCTGTTGTCGGTGCTTTTTCTTTACTGAATGTCTTGAGATTTTTCGTTAATTTAAAAACGATAAGTTACTTAAGTCTTTGTATATATATACAACGTGCATAGTATAAGAAAGAAGCAAATCTAACGGTGACGATGCATTTTACTACTTAAAAAACAACAGCGTATACATCCATACCATATAGCTGAGCCTTATGATGACATCTACACATTTTCTTGACTTCCTTTTCTTTCGTCATCAATAATATAGAAAGAAAAAGGAAAAAGAAAAGTGCACTATCACTCTGACAATATAATATTCATAGAGTTTTAACAATGAATCATTCTACTACATGAAGAAAAAAGTTCTTTCGTTTGTTTGTTTAGAATGATTCTTCATTAAAAAGTATGAACAGTAGATAAACAAAACAAATCTCACAATATGTCGCTAGAATACGGGAGTGTTCTGCTCTATTATTGTCACTAGTATATCATCTGTTGAATTGTAGTTATATTATTATTACTTCATATGGTTACGATAGATCAAGTATTCGATATTGTCATCAAAGAAATTGAAATACTTGTAAACGTTCTCTGCATACTGAAACGCAAACAGACTTATTCTGATTACATCACGAGACTAATTAACATTAAGAATTTTGCTTTCGATCAATAAGATCAAAATGATTTTCGTGAGTAGAGACTATTTGTTCAAAATTGTTACTGTTTACAAAACTCATTTGTTTATAATTAAGGTATGATGATAATGATGATGGAATTTCAAATTATTTATATTACCTGTCACGATTACCTGACATCTTCGAAATAATTCTTCAGATTACCAATATCGACACTCTAATGAATATTCAATTGTAATTTATACTAATTTTAAAAAGTTTTTATTCTGTTTTCTTAAATGCGCAATTTGTATCAGAGAACAAAACAAATGACTGATTTTTGCGTCATTAGTCAGTTAAACAGTTTCGATTACTAATACAAGCTATAGTAGTGTCATATATTATGGTCGTCATTTAAAGACTATTACATGATTTTTTCGATGAATCGGCTTTGTTTATCTAGATATTCACAGAGTACATGTCCTTGGTTTTTGTTTCTTTCCACGATTTACTATGAATCAATTCACCTTTGCATGCAAATATCACTGTGTACTTAGTGTCATAATCAAGCAAGACATGACGCAAAAAGTTAGGCTTATAGATAAGTTCGGAGAATATTGTTTTTATCGACAGCTTATGATTTTTTTCTTTTCTTTTGCGCATACTCATAACTAATATCGGCAAAAAAAAGAAGCATTCGAAAAATGATTTTGCATTTTTTTTTATTAACACTATAGTAGACGAACTGATTAAAACAACAGAATATAAATAAACAACGTTTTTGTTAAGAAGGAGTCGATCTTTCTACAATCTTTTTCTGGTTCTACCGTTATTTTAAAGAGAAAAACACTCATTATATGGCTTGCTTTGAATTAGATTTTTACAATCTACATTTAATACGAGATAGAAACTGAATAGGTATACCGATTAAGGCAAATGTTTGGCAACATTTAAAAAAAATATCTATTTATTTCATGACAAAGCAAAACTAATAAAATACGTAGGGTATGCGAAAGGCTTTTTTCTTTTGGCTCTCCTAAAAGTCATAGTTTGAGTGCAAACATTCAACTACAATGCTTTGCCATATTTAGGATTATGTGAAAAATGTCAGACTTCGAAATTTTTATATTTACTTTTATTTATTTTTTGTTCCTTTTAGACTAGAGATACAACATTTTACACATGAATTTGAATTCTTATGGATATACTTTCCATGGATAATTTTACATGACTATTAAATTGGTTTAATTTACCATGAAAACCGTGCTCGTTTATTATATTCAGATCGTCCTCTATTTGCTGTGATCAGAGAAACTTTTAATGCTGTTTTAGCAATAATTGAAAATCATTCTCATTGAACATATAAACAAATAGATGACACTCTAAGCATAATGTCTATAGCGATTATTTCAATGATTCTCGTTTGTTTTAAGTTCTAGAAAATTCTACACTCGACGAGTGCATTATCAACTCAATTATGATTGAAAACAGTTTTATATTCATGTGGGTCATTATTCACTGAAAAGATTTGGAGGATTCTATCTCCATATTGTATTCTGCATTTCGCTAATGATAATTAGATTGAAAGTTGAAGAATTACAAAGTAATCCACGAATTGCCAAGGATCATCAAAATTAGAGGTTAGACAAGCAGTCAATAGTTGTCTAAGACAAATTTACAAACTGTATTAGCCGAAAAACAAAAGATCCATCTTTGTAGTCTCAGTTTTCACTATGAAAATGTGGAGCTATGGAAAGACAATGAGTGATGCATCATCCCCTCCTTTTTATAAAATCACAACCATTGATTATAACAGTTTTGGTCATTCAGTCACGCGCTGTTTTGAACAACTTATGGACGTGTAAGTATTCAGTGCAACTATGATACACAGCAGATATTTTTTCATCGTATACATTGGCATCAGATCGATTATAAACCCACACAATGTCATTTTTAGATTGAAATAACCATTCGTTGTAAATATTTTTTCATCGGCAAACATCATTCTTTCCACTTTGTCACGTCTAATATCCTTCCTGATCCATAGACAGCATATTTTCCTTACTCACTTGTTTGGTTCGAGTACTATTGTTTTAAGTCGTTGGCCATTGTCCGTAAATAGTTTCGAGAAATGTTGAAGTCAAGCCTCTTTTTCACTCAAATGATGAGTCTTTTTTTGTATGACTACTTCTTGGTCTTACTAATTTTTGGTTTAGCATTAATTGAACCAGATTGCTTATATCGATATAGCAAACGATCAATATACTTTGTTGACTCAGGACAAAGAATCCTGAAGTTGGATTCCATCAGAATCTTTGGCATAGTGTTCTGATAAGATCAGTCTAATAATCACAAAAAGCAAAACTTAGTACTTCAATACTATCGAACCCTATCGATAGAATCCTACAGTCGGATCCCATTGGATGCCAATTGTCGAATGGTCCAGGATTCTACCGGATGACTTCTATCTGAAGAGTCATCTTTGCCATTAGTTTTCTAATTTCCAAAGCTTTCTTTCCCCCATTTTCATAATGCGAAATAGAAAAATTTCGTAGTTCGTGACTTCTAAACATCTCAAAATCAATGAAACAGTAAAAGTAAAACATGATTATCCCATCAAAGTAATAGAGAGGATGCCAATATCAAATAAACTGATCATGTCAACAAATGAATATCAAAGTGAAATTATTCCAAATGTCACACAAAAAAGTTTACCTCATGCATTATAGAAAAAGAAATTTACAAAAAATGCAAATATTCTTGGTGTTGAGTGCCTGGTCAAAGGTTTTTTTTTATTAAATTTCTTGTAATTAACAATGTCATGATACTAGATAATTATTACTTGATATTAAATAATGTTGTAACACAAATAGTTTGTTTTTTTACCATCGAAAGACTACATTTAAAATTCAATAATCTAAGTTGGTTTGTTCCTATAAACATGAACATAAAATATAAAACTAGCCAAAGGAATAAGACTAATACATATAAGAACAAAAAACACACCGGAAGTAAGTAGGTTTACGTACTAGAGAATAAGACATATTGTTGATTTTTGTTTGTTTTTTTTTTTGGAAGAAGAATATTAAGAAAATGAAAAAGAAAATGAGAACTATTTCCATTCACGTAAAAATGACAAATGAAATGTACGAAATTTTTCAACCATATCTTTCATTTGATCAACAGGTGGTAAAATTGTTGTACGGAAATGATGTGTTCCTGGTGATTGTTTAAAACCACTACCCGGTACAACGCATATGCCAGTTTTTTCTAATAATTGAAAACAATAAAAAGCATCTGGAGCCATATTTTTCGATTTAGCATGTTCAATTGCTTTTTTAGGAAGTTCAATACGTGGAAATGCATACATTGCACTAAAAGAATACAATTTATTTTAGATAAACAAAAAAAATGTTTTTTTTTCTGTTTATTAACTAACCCCATAACAGGATTACATTGTACACCTTCAACTGAATTAAATAATCGACCAACAAGTTCAGCTTTTTCTCTTAATCGGTTAACAACTGCTGAACGTTCTTGTTTATAAAGTTCATAGGATGGTTCTCCTTCTTTTGGTGGATTTATGATTGCTGCCATAACAGCTTGTCCCCAAGCTGTCGAACATAGACATGCTGATATGAGTTTATTAACTTGTACTCTGACATCCTTATCAATATTAATTAATTCATAATAACCACCACGAGAACCACATCTGAAAGAGAAAAATTTTTTTTTCTCTGTAAAAGCAAAAAAAAATGTAAACTTACTCTCCATGCCAACCTTTTGATGCTGAATGAAATGAAGCTGAAAGATAAAAAAAACAAAAACAACCGAAATTTGAGATCGTAAAAGAAAAAATAAGATATTCAATACCCATTTCCATTTGATTATATGGTGCACCAAGATCCATAAGTGTCTTTTTAAATGAAAAAAATTTTGAACCTGGTAAATGAACATTTTCTTGATAAACTTCATCAGCCACAATAAATAATTGATGTTTATGAGCTAAAATCAAATAAAAAGAATAATTATTCATCTATAAAAAAAAAAAAGAGAAGACAAAAGGATTACCAAAACGAATAACATTTTCAATATTATCACGTGAAAGTACTTGACCTAATCGAAACAAAAAAACAAACTTGAAATAAAATAAAATAGATTTCCATCATATCTTACCAGTAGGGTTTCCAGGATTAATGATTACCATACCACGTGGTACACATCGATCTTTTGATTGATTTAATGCACGTTCAAGTTCATCTATATTCAATGCCCAATTATTACCTTCATCAAGATAATATTCAATTTGATAAGCTCCATATTCAGATAGAGTAGCACTATATAATGGATATTGTGGAACAGGTATCATCTAGAAATTAAATCATTTGATTTTTATTAGTCAATTTCAGACTAGATCATTACAATCCATAGGTCGGGTATAATAAATCTCGATTTAAAACTGTCTACCAGATGCCTCTACTTTTAAAAACTATTGCAAGATTTACTGAGTACGAAAAGTTATATACCCGTACAGTACTCTATTTTAGACTTACAATTCCCGATGGTTTTTCTAGATTATTATTCATTAGAAGCTTAATTATAGTTTTAATTCCATCGGAAGCTCCATTACAAAGATAAATATTATTTGGATCTGATGGATAACCATCTCGTTGTTGAATATAAGCTGCAATATCTTCACGTATTGTTATAATACCTTGACTTTCTGTATATGCACCAAGACTTTTTCCACCACATACAGATAATAAACGTTCAACACGACTTTTTATATCTGATGGAAAATTAGATGATTTCATTAATTCTGGATAAGTACAACCAGCTACGAACTAGAAATTAAGAAAAATTTTCTTTTCAAAAAAAAAAGAAAATTAAATTAATTGTAATACAAACTTGTCGAATATATGTAATAGGTACTTGATTACCACTAGCATGACAATCACCAATATTAGCTCGAATAACACGATCAAACGGAAAATTATGACTACCCTAAGAAAAACATCAATAATAATAATAATAATAATAATAGTCTATTAAAAAACAATATTAAAACCGATTTAATTTCTTGTTCAATATTAGCAGCACGAATAACAATTGGACCTCGAACAGCATATTCAACATCAATTACACGTGGATTTAAATTTTCCATCGTTAGAATTTTTTTATAATCCATCCTCGTAGATTTTATGATGCTTTGATCAATAGGGAATAGTGATTCTCGTTGAAATAAAATATATTAAAGGTGAATTGTTTCTGACGTATATTTTTTCTCTTCCTTCATGACATTATAAGTATTTATATTTAACAATTGATCGAAGCATCATTGAAAAAGAAAATCACTCGTGCACAAATGATAGCCCCTATTACAAATATTCGTTATACCTACATATCAAGTGAGTAATTGAAGTAACATGTTTTCTTTTTCTTTTGCTCGAAACATAAATAAATCATGTTATTCAAATGAAACCATAGCTGTATACTTATGATTTATAAAATATAATGATAAAAAATACAAAAAAAAACACGAATTACCTTTAATTTTTTTTCAATCTCTCCAGCTCGAATAACGATCGGACCTATAGTTTAAAAATAATAGAAAATAATGATTGAGTTTAAAAAAAACAAACATGTTTACCTCTAACAGCATATTCAACTTCTTTAACAAGTGGATTAAGTGTTTCCATTGTTAAAGATGCATGTCGTTTTTGTTCTTTTCTTGTAATTACACCAGCAGCAGACACAATTCGAGACGAATTAATTGGTAATCGACATCTTATTGCTAGCATGTCTATTATTTATATCTGAAAAACAGAACCTGTACTTGTACAGTAAAATAACAGTCATCATATTGAATATGAGAGAAAAACAAAAAATCCACATATACAAGAAAAACTAGGTGTGTATAACAACATAACTCGAGTATCGCATAAGGATGGTCGGTTCTACATGATCAATCATTGTATACATAGAGGTCGCAATTTAATATTACTCAATCATGATGATTGTTGTTTCCATAGTAACGATAAAATTTATGGCTATTATTCGATAATCAGATATAATAACTTGATCAGATAATAAATCTCAAAAATTCGTTTTTTTTTTAAAATCATGTCAAAAACTATAAATGGAAGAATCCGAACAAATTCAAAACGCGAAGTTTATGTTGAACAAATGCCTCATAATCGACATAGAAAAATCAAATCTTTTAAACGTTTACATTCATATGATGATAGTGAGGTTGCTTATCGAAGTACACCTGATTATTTAAAACAATTAATGAATACATCAACATTATCAAATGGACATTCAGCTCGAAGTGTAACACGTACATATAGTGCTAGTGAAATAACATCACCTAATAATTGTAAGAAAAGAATTTGTGATTAAAAAGAAAAAAGTGTTTAATAATTTTTTTGTTTTAGTCAATCGACCAATGAGTGGAAATCCAAAATATAAAACACAAGAAGAATATTATGATGAAATTCAATTTTTAAAAAAAGTTTTATTAATTTAAATCGCATAGATTTATATATCGTTTCATTTTTTTTTTATATAGGAATTAAAAGATACAAAAACTGATAATGATATTTTACGTGCTAGAGTTCGACGTTTGGAAGAAGATAATGCACGTAAACGTAAAGAAATGGATAATTTTTATGATGCGAACAAGGTATTATTTGTCTTGATATCTTCAATAGGAAAAATATGATTTAAATTTTCTATTTTTCAAAGGATGGGGATATACGACGAACATTAACTGGTTCTTCTAATTCAACTGCTGTAAGTTTAATTTCAATTTAAAAGATAAAAGAAATGCTTTTTTTATGAATTGTAGAATGTTGTTATGAATTTAAAACAACGTTTATTTAAATTAGATTTGCAATTGAAACAAAAAGAAACTATAATTGAGTATGTCGAAAAGAGATTAATTGATTAGACAAAAAGAAAACTAATGATTTTCTTATTTCTAGTGAAATGAAAAGTGATCCACGATGGACAAAAGGTACAGAATTAGAAATACAAAATCGTGCTTTATTTAATGAACTTGAAAAACAAAAATTAGAAAAATTAAATTTTATACAACAGTAAGATAAATCATTTTTATTTTTATTTTTTTTATTTTTAATTAATAAAATTTTATTTTTCAAAAGTGATTATATAGCTTCAATTGATGAAGAAAAAATGAATGCTGTACGAAAATTAGAAACTGAAAAAAGAGAATTAAAAATAGAAAATGATAATTTAAAGAAAAAACTTAATGAAATGGAAAAATTAGGTTAGACATTTTTAAGAAATTATAAATTATTCAATTGATTATGTATTGTTTTCAAATTTTTAGAACGTGACGGACAATTATCATCACGTCAACGTGTAAGTGTACATATAATATAATTGCTATGCATGTAGAAATGTTTGCAGATAGATTTTGAATAGAACAAAAAAAAAATGAATCGTTTTTAGAAGAAATTCATGCTGTTTTATTTAGCTGCTACCAAAAACAGATTTTTTAGATCAACAGTATAAAGATTAGTCTATCGCCTAAATGAAAAAATAATGCTCATTGTCACACTTTCTTTTGTATTTTCAAAAATACAGGAAATCAATTTGTAATTAATTGTATAACAAGACTTGAACATTTTCTGCTCATCAGTAAAATGCTATTTACTACGCTAGATGAAATATTCAAAATATTTGCTGAATGATGAGTCAACAAACTTTGGTAGTTGAGATATTCTATGACGACTGTCTATCACATATAAGTCAATTATTTTCAAATCGACATACATAAATATGAAAGCCATACATAGTAGAATTGTACATGAAACCATAAAAATAATGACTAATGGAGCAACCTCTTCAACTGCCATTTTTCGATTTTAATAATTGTTTTTTTCTATAGATACAACGTAGTGTTCTAATAAAAACTGAGTTCCTATTGATATTCGACTAAGCTATTGAATATTTTTCTAGAGGACTCTAGGTTTTCGAAAAACTTGTCTTGTTCAATTTTGATGTGAAAATTTGCGTGTATAAAGAACTCAACTAGACTAGCTTTCATAAAAAATTCAGAAATTTTTAGCAAAGTCTCTTCGAAGTATGAGACTTTCAAGATATAGACATTTTTCTATGGATAGTCTATACAAGACGCATTTTTTGTAAGCTTCATATCTCGGAGAGACTGTCTTCAAACCTTCTGAATTTTTTTATGAAAGCTAGTCTAGTTGAGTTCTCGATATGCGCAAAGTTTCAGATCAAAATTTGAAAAGATGAATTTTTCGACAATCTGAAGCATCTGGCACAGATGGCCATAGCGACGCGGAAGCCTTCTCTCTCCTAGGACCACGGCACGGCAGCAGCAGATTCCCAGTCGCCATGTACGTCTATGGCATCTAGAAAAAATTTCGATAGCTTAGTCAAATTTCAATATGAATCCAATTTTTATTAGAACACTATATAGTATCTATAGGCAAAAACTCATTGAAATCGAGGAGGGTAGTTGATGATATTCCTTCGTAAGTCGGAAATGGCTTTATACTAGGACCTTCGAAATTGCACATATAAAGTGTTAATTATGTATATGTTATTCTGATTGTTTGTAGTCTTGACTGCAGCACATTTTGGCTTTTTTTTTGAATATTTTGAGCGGTGTATTATTATATACCAAGAGCTACCATTAAAGATTGATTCGGCACTCTTGAGTCAACGAAATATTCAGTAAATTTGAACTAGGAAGAATAACTACCTATATATATTTTGTAGAAAAATAGATATTAAGTCACAGTATCTTAGCCAAAGTCAATCCAAATATATGTATATATAGTTAAACCTTTATGTGCTACTTTCGAAAGAGTATGTTATGTAATCATTTTCTAGAAAATCTTCATATTTTTGTTGTAAACACATAAATCCTGTCACATATCACTAGATTAGGTCAACATAGTCTACCAACTCTGAATGTGTCACAAGATTTTGAAACACTTGTCGATTTTGTGATAGAAACTCCATGGAATATTCCAGCTAGACTTTTGATCGGTGCTTGATACATTGAAATAATCGTGTTTTTCGCACCTCGAACTATCGGGAATACTATATTGCTCTCTTTTAAGTTATATATTACTATCTTATATTCGTATATATTTGACAGTGATTGATTTTCTATTAATGTATGTAATATGATTCAAAAAATTTGCTATACTATATTTATATTCTACTAATCATGTTCATAATATTAATAGAAAGAAAACTGTAAACTATCGATAATGCTATTGTTAATTGTAAAATCAAGTTAATCTTAAAGTTTTTTTTTTCAGCTCCTTAAATCTTATAAATGATTTTTACTTAAATATTATGCTTAGAAGAATAGTTTTTAAATCATAATATCTGGGTTTTTTTTCTCTTTTATTAATAGGATGTTAGTGCTGATAGAGATTTACGTCGAAAAATTGAAGATTTAAAAGAAACATGTAGAAATTATCGAAATGACCTTGATCAAATGAAAGATGAACTTAAACAAATGCGACATGAACGTGATAAATATCGTGATAAACTTGATATTGTTAAAGAAGATCTTGAAGAAATGAAACATGAACGTGATCAATATCGTAAAAAATTCGAACGAATTAATAATGATTTTGACGAATTACGATCGGAACGTTTTCGACAAATGAAATCATCAAATCAAACGGATCGTTTATCAATTATTGCTTCACGTCAAGGATCATATTCATCTGAAGAACCTACTAGAAAAGATTCAAGGTAAATTCAAAAACAAAAGACACCTACAAATAGAATTTAATAACACATTGTTTATTCTTTAGATCAAGTACACCTCTACAAAAATCTAAGGAACATATTGGTTCACATTCATCATTGACTAGATTTGATCGTAACACACCATCACCATCAATTACAAGAAAAACAACGTCTCGAAATTTTCGTCGTGATAATTGGAATAGGTAAAATAGAATTAATAGAAATTCTATTACATACATTTATTTATTTTCTTTAGTGATGATGAAAATCGTCTTAAAAATTTTCGAGAAAAACATGCAGCAACTGTCATTCAACGAGGTTGGCGTGAACATCATAAATCACATAAACATTCATTTACATCTAAAACAAAACAGTATCCTTTTGACAAAGTAGATTAAGATTTCTTTCATTTGACATTATTTCGTTTTTTTCTTCTTTATTTTAGCGGAACTCAAAAATTGGTGGAATAGTAAGTCATTTAACGATACGAGTTGATCATTGGAATATCCTATACTAGGAACGAAGGAGAAATATACCCGTATGTCAATATCTAGTCAGTGTGCTATCGGACGTATGATCCGAGACAAATAGCCGTTAGTAACTTATCCAGAGTCATTGCATAACTGATGGCACCGACGTTTGGACACAGCACTTTATGGATACGTGTCAAGCAGCAGAGTCATTCATGAAGGAATCTCTTCAGATGTCGATTCGCTTTTCGATCGAGACGATGTTCATTTGGTGAGTGTTAGAGACTAATAGAAAAGTCTAAAATGGTTTAGTTTTCCGGACCTTCGACTTCAAACTTTGCATAAACAATATTCTCAGTAACATTAGTTGATTATGCAACTAGTTTTTCCTTTCTGGAGATATATGAATATATAAACAAAATTTGCTTTTACACACGAGAGAATTTCGAATATCTCAGGATAGAAGACACTAGAAAAAGTTACAACTTGGCCAATGAACTAATCTTATTGAGAATATTGTTTGTATCAAGTTTGAAGTCGAAGATCCGGAAAACCAAATCATT